ATCTATCTATCTATCTATCTATCTATCTATCTATCTATCTATCTATCCATCTATCTATCCATCTATCCATCTATCTATCTATCTATCTATCTATCTATCTATCTATCTATCTATCTATCTATCTATCTATCTATCGTTTGTCTGTCTGTCCATCCATCCAAAATTACATTACAATAGCTTCCATAACTACTGAACTAAAACTTAAAACTATTGTAAACTTAAAATTAAAAGTATGTCAAAATTTACTTTGATTTGTATTTAACATGGAAAATGTAACATGATTTAACAACACTTGGACCAACTTGTTCCAAGATAAAAATGGCTCCCATGGAGTGGAAACCAAGAACTGCTAAAAAACCAGGAAGATATCAAAAAATCATCCTTGAAGAGGCCCCACCACGGATAATTGTCACAGGCACTGAGGGGTATGATGAGCTCCTAAAACTTGGCCAGGAGACATTTTGGTCAGACGAGAGAGAGGGGAGTGTGTTTACTCTCTGCCAAGCAGATGGGACGAGGTGGACGAAGGAACAGTTCCATCAGGAATTTGGATCAGTGTCAGAGATCCCAAACGTCTGGAAGCGAACATTTTACATTACATCTGTGGTCATAATGAACTGCCCTTGTGTAGAAAATGTTATAATCGTTGTTACTTTTTCCCTTTTGTGTTTTATGTGGAAATAGTAATACCATATGCAACAGCATGAGGGTGATTAAATTATGGCAGAATGTACATTTTAAAGCGATCTAATAGATTTTTCAGAGCAAAATGCAAGTGGGTACAATCCTCCAGAACTTGTTGCAGAGAAACCCATCCAGGAAGGCATAGGATCTGCAGAAAAAGATGAATGTCCACAAAATCAAGTGTTTTATGTTTCGTCAAATGTTGTAACCATATTACCATCATGTAAGTAATATTGCCTACCAAGACATAAGTTTACAATATTTTTTGTTAATTAGTATTAAAGTGGATATATTCTTTAAATGCATGAAATAATATGATTTTTTTTTCCAATCTCAACTTTATTAAATATAGTATATATTCCGCGCCTACCATATGTGGATGAATCGCAAATCCATTACAAAGAAGAGAACCTGCTGGGGGAAGGTGCATTTGGAAGAGTGTATAGAGGCTACTTTCAGGGCACCCCTGCTGCCATTAAAAAATTCTCAATGGCACCGCAGGACTTCCAGACCAAGATATCCAGCACGAGATTCTGGTCTCACTGTAAGATTAATCATCATCATTAATTCTATCTAATAATTAAACATAAATTTTAATTTGATCTTATATTAATATTAACAGTTGGGGAGAATTGAACAGTTGTTAATAACAACAGTGCATTTCTACTGTGTGCTAGTTATATTGTTGTCATTTAAGTTTTACTTGATAATTTGCTAAATGCCTGTAACATTTCATTGTATTTTATAGCCGACTGAGCCATCCCAATATTGTTCGACTCATGGCTGCAGCCCGCACTGACAACGCCTTCCTGCTGGCCAATGAGTATATACATGGCACAACCCTGGAGGATGCACTACACAATGACCATTCTTCTGTTAAGGTAAAAAAAAAAATCATACTTTTCATGTAACATTTGTGAAAAATTGTCTTAACATTTAATAGCTAATACTTAAATGCCAAATCAAAATATAAGAGGGAGATCCACACTCTGTTACCTTATTCTCTTTTATTAATTAAAAGGTAACACTTTACAATAAGGTTCATTTGTTAATAGTAGATAACTAGTAGTTAACATGAACAAAGAATGAACAATACTTCTACAGCATTTATAGATCTTAATGTTAATTTCAACATGTACTAATGCATTATTAATATCAAAAGTTGTATTTGTTAACGTTAATGCACTGTGAACTATTGGAAATGTACTGTTCATTGTTAGTTCATGTTAGTTAATACATTAACTAATGTTAACATGTGACCTTATTGTCCAATAAAAAGTAGCAGTTAGTAATCTTCACAATCTTTATCATGCATACGTCAGTAGGCAACAATTATTTCTAAATATAATGACAACTTTACACGTTATTGTTTTCTATTAGTAAAGCAAATCAGGCAACATAACATTAACAAAGTTGTCTCTTGCTGTGTATGTGGTAGTTTGAACTTATGTTTTGTTTAGTTTTTTTTGTGAAGATTATGCTGTGTTGTGTGTGTATCTCTCTCTTTGGTCAAATATGACTCTTTTAAACTCTTTCATACATCTATTATTTAAATTTGTATTGTATTTTTGTTTTTTGTCGCTTGAAGGAGATGACAGTTATTTTGTTGCCCTCGACATCTCGATGGCCATTGAGTACATCCATTCAAAAAATG